CATGGAACAAAAATAAACTAACAGAAGCCACTATCTCTTGGAATTGTGGTCAACCATCCCTCTGTTATGGCTACAGATCAATATGTGATTCTGAGTTTGTCCACTGAGTTTGTCTATACAGTCGCTAAGGCTCCTGGGTGAAATGTCACTTGTTTGCTACCACTATTGTTCTATAATAGCGACCATTCTAAACTCATCTCAGGTTTAGTGCCTCATTAGATTGAATGACAGGAACAAAAAAGGAAGCAATCCAGTACAGTTTCTCCATTACAGGGTTGTGTTGATGGGCTATAAGTACAACATGACAAAATCCATTCTTCAATGAACCTTTTGATGATGGAGCTGTTACTGAAAAAGATCTTCTGGATGGATGGCACACAAGACAACTGCAGGCAGAAAATAATCAGGTGTTCCCATATTGCATTGATTTCAGCTAACCAGATGGACATTTCCTTCATATGACACTGCCAATTATTTTAGACTCAAAACGTGCGTAAGTCTAACACCATTCTATTCAGGAAAAGGGCCATCCATTTGGTTCTTAAATGGTGTGTGTGTGTTGGGGGGTGTCCTTTACTTTTCTCTAAGGAAATTATATTAAAAATAACTTCCACTGAATATCATTACTGTATTGAAAGCTCTATTAACTGCATTGTGTTTTATGAAATGTGGTGTCCTTCTGGACTGATTATTTCTAGGGCTTAGAGGAGCTAAAGGAAGAAAGGAATTAAGATTTTTCCAAAAGAGGAAGTAGGGAAGGCTGAACTATAAGGATCTTTCTAGATCTGCTCTCAACTATAGGGTTGATTCTTCCTTAGAATATTATTATTCCAATAGTACAAAGTCCAATGGATCTGTGGTCTCACCAATGCAGGTCATTCCTCCAATGACATAGAATATGATGTTTCCATGACTACACAACCTTTGTATATCTTCCCATGAGCCCATCTCAGAGGATCCACTGAACGTGATGGCAGATTTCTTGCGTTCTCCTGAATTTGATACCATTGGAGCACAGACCCCATTCATAGCTCACACTTGCTATGTGGCCAACCCATTTTTTCCCCAATCACACAATACTCTGATGACATCTTATACATAGCTTCTTCTGAATAATTTCTTGTTGGTAACATACCCTGCTCATGTCCACATTGCAGAAGTACTAATGGGTCCTAGAGAAGGCATTACCCTTGGAATTGGCATGTTTCACTCTTCTTAAGTGAGACAAAGCTTTGTTCCTCTTTGCCTTTTGTTTTTTGTGGCATCTGTTTAGCATCTTTATATCCGATATGCTAGGACCAAACCTAGAAATATGAGAGGGGAATTTCATCTGAGAAGAAGCATCCTCTCTTGCAGCATCTCTATTGTTTGTAAGTGTTAGGGTATTATTTCAGAACAAAGCCCATTATTCTATCCAGTCTTAGGTGGACCCAATTTATCCTGAGTCACTGGATAGCTGCTTGTATTTAGCTACTCTAGGAATTACAGATATTAAGCCACTTACATAGGATCCAAAGTAGTTTTGCTTTGCTCTGAGTATCCCTGAATATATATCTTTGATGCTGGGTTTTTGTTGAGTTTAAAAGAAATTACCGCCATGCACAAATACATGAGATAAGATTTTTGTTTAACCAAAAGGTGCCTTCTCTGTATATGCCCAAAAAGTAGTTTCACTAGTCACCACTGTCATTTGTATATTCTGTAAGATGATGCATCTCAAACACCAGATGTATAACCCAAGCAGCCAATGCTTACAATGAAATGCTTACTATGTGTATGGTACTACAACAGGAGAAACAAAAAACTTAAGACATGGTCCCTCACACTAAGAAATTTACGTTCTAGTTAAGTAGATTATATACACACACATATATATGCATATATACAAACTCACACATACATATATATATACACACATATACACATGTTTATACATACCTACATGTATGTATATATGTATGTGTATATACATATAAATATGTATATGTACCTACATATACATACGTGTGTGTGTGTGTGTGTGTGTGTGTGTGTGTATGTAAAAAACCATGGTATAATAGAAAGAAGACTAGATCTGGAGTTAAAGGCTGGTTCAATAGTCCTCCTCTAATGCTTAATACCCATGTGACCTTGAGCAAGTTACTTAACTTTGCCAGGTCTGTTTTCTCCTTTGTAAAATGACAGAGTTGGAGTAGATCATATTTGAGGTCTCTTCAAAATATTAATCTATATTCCCATGAACCATGAAAGTAACTAATAACATTCAGCTTTAAACAAATATCAATTGATTGGAACAGAAAATCATTGTTATAGGCTTTTAGAAGAGGGAAAGATGACTACTCCCAATGGGTAGTCAGGAAATACTTTATTGTGGATATAGAACTGAAACTTGGCCCTGAAAAAAAAATTATTCATTAAGGAACTATTACGTACCAGGCTATAAGTGCTTTACAAATATTATTTCATTCAATTCTTACAACAACCCTGTGAGTTTGGTGTTATTATCCCTATTTTACATGTGAGAAAACTGAGGCAGACAAAGGTTAAGTAGTTTGTCCAGGGTCACATAGCTAGTAAATGTCTGATGCTAGATTTAAACTTAGTTCTTCCTAACTCCAGGCCCAGGAGTCTTGCCACTGCACTACCTACCTGACTCTGGATGTATGGACAGGATTTGAATAGTTATAGCGGAAGGAATAGTGAAAAAGGTAAACACATAGTAATAGAAAAATATAGCTGATATTTATAGAGTATCAAAGAATTTTATACTCTCATCATCAGATTCCCACAATAAGCCTGTTCAGAAGGCACCATCATTATTCTCATTTTATAGATGAGGGACCAAGGCTGAAGGAGGCTGCAGGATTGGCCCATGAGGAACTGTACAAGGAAGGAAGCAAACAGGTTTTTCTGATTCCATGTCCAGTATTCTATTCACTATACCTCAAGCTACTCCAAAATCATAACAACAACAACAACAACAAGAAAAATGACATGTATATAGTACTTTAAGGTTTGCAAAGCACTTTATATACATTATCTCAGCTGGCCCTCAAAACCCAGGTACTGCAGGTATTATTCCCTTCCTATTACAGATGAGCACATTGAGGCTTAGAGAGATTAAGTGATGACCCCAGAGCCACACAACTAGTAATATGGGATTTAGATCCAGATCTCTTCAGATTCCCCGTGCCAATGCTCTTGCCATTCTACTGGGGCACGCCTCCAAGACAGTAAGAGGCTCAGGGAAATTGTGTTACTAGTCAAAGGCCTTGGAAGCACCTGCCATACCTTATGATTAATACCCAAATTCTTACCTTCTGCAATGAAAGAAAGGAATTTTAAAAAAAACTCAAGGTTAGGAACCTTGAACACTGCAAGGATAATGTTGCCATTTGACTTTTTTATAAAGTTGTGGACAAGTTGTGATTGGGAAATATAAATATGAACTAGCATATTGGCAAAATAAGAACAGAGTTAAACAATTGCCATTTTTTTAAATTTAGGAATAAAAAATGCAATGGATGGTAGAGGAAGAGACAATGATTTGGTACAGACGTTGCTCAAGAAGTCATCAGAGTGTTCTGTAAAGTCAAGAAGTCTTTTAGGGATGAAAACAAGGTTATAACTACACCCCTTTTTGGAAAAAAAAACAGCCTTGTTCAACCTTTATAGAGACAAAGGCCATATCTATGCCAACTGTGAAAGTACATGACATAATAAAATGAAGACAGGCACAGCTGGGTCAGCTTTGAGGGCTCAGAATTCAAGGAGAAGAGGAACAACAGAGTTGGTAACATCTGCCCAAATGAATGAAAGGAAATCTCCTGGGGCTATAAGAGAAGAAGGCAGAAAGAGGAATATTCAGGGAGAGATGGGGGATAATAAAGAAGATGGATTTCAGGTTGTGGTGAGGATAAAAAAAAAAGAATGAAGAATACATATAAAGCAGCTGAGGATGAACAAGAAGTATGCTATGAAAACAGCAGGGGAAAGATGGATCTTGCAGGGGAAATAAGACAGAATATTTAGCAAACAGCATTGGCTGTAGCTCACAGAGACTGGAAGGAGTGGATGGTTTTCAGATAAAATAATGGAGGCAAATACTAGAGAGAATAATAGGTTCACAGTCAACAGAACCAGTTCCCAAGAGAAAGAATACCAGAGAGAGGAAAAAACAGTAGAACCTGAGATAAGATTGATGTAAAATACAGACCCTTAATGGGAGTGAGACTAATCATTTTCAAAGGAAGCCCTGGAAGATTAAATGAATGCACAACCCAAGTAGGAAAATATAACACCAATCACCTGAGAGTGGAGGAGGCTAAAGATGCAATGAATGGGGCTCTGAGGGAAGATGAGAATCAAGGTTGAATACTAAGAGGTCAATTAATGAGTGTGAGGACTAGATTTAGGATTTTTCCCACTAGTCAAAGGGAGAAAAGAGTAATGCAAGGGTCCGAATTTTGCTTATCACAAAAGATACATAAAATAAGAAATATAAATTGGTAGATGCATAAGAATGGAGACTATTTGGGAAAGGGGAAGAAATCAGATTTTTAAGGGTATGTATATGCCCCCCAAAAAATATGTGTAAAAGGAAATAGTGATTGAAGGATATTACAGAAGCATAGAATCTCAGAGTTGAAAGGGTTCTGTGAAGTCATCTATTCTAACCTACTTGCATAAGAACTCACTCTACAAGGTCCCCAACAAATCTAAAGAGGATGACATCCATTGCTACTGAGGTAGCTCATTGTACCTTTAAATAACTATAAGGAAAAATTTCCTTATATCCAGATGAAATACACTTCTCTTTAACTTCTTACTGTTTCTTATTCTGCTCTCTAGAGCTAAGCAGAATAATATAATTCTCCATCTGCATGAGGGACTTTTTAATTATTAATGACTTCCTTTGGGGTAAATGCTTAGTGTTGGGATCTTTGGTTTAAAGGGTATAGATTTTTTTGGATTAAAGAATTTCTAATGTTTCTTTCCAGGTCTGAAATTCCATGAAAAGGCCAGATAAAGAAGATCAGGGAAAAAAAGATAAACAGGAAACAGTCATATAAAGGAGAAAACATGGTATAATGGGAGCATATCGATGGTGTCAAGAGACTTAGATTCTAGTCCAACTTTATGAGTCACATAAGAAAAATGGATATCATTGCATTATAATCACATCTCATTTTTATTAGAAACATCAAATCATTCTCTTTGTATACTGATACTCATATAAACTTTAGACAATAATTCTTGTGCCACCTACCTGACAGTGTTACTGTGCTTTGTAAACCTGAAAGCTTTAGCTGAAGGTGAGATATTATTGGTGCTGCAGCTGTAATTACTGGCAATTGGTTCTTTAAAAAAAAATCAAATTCACTTTCAAATTTACCAAATTTACCATACCTTATAATTAGTACCCAAATTCTTATCTTCTGGGATGAGAGAAAAGAAGAAATTTTAAAAATAACTCAAGGTTAAGAACTTTGAACACTGTGAGGATGATGTCAAAATTTTGCCAAAATTTATCAAAAACTTGGGGAAGTGTGATACAGTGGCAAGAGTACAGGATTAGAAACAAGAGGATCTGGATGGATTCAAATGTGAGCTTTGTCACTTACTATCTTTGACAACTTAAGGAAGTTACTTGGCCTTTTGGGGTCACAGTTGGGTAGCTAATAGTTAAGTTTCATTGAAACACAGTGTTGTCAAGGCTTCTAATTCACCATTTTACATTAGCTCTGCATTGACATTGGCCTGTAAAATGCCAAGTGTGATCTGAGCATAATTTTTTTTTTCTGGGTGCTCCATCATCCAGTGCTAATACTTTGCTGTCACAACCATGATTCTGTAACTCTTGGTGTAATAGCAGCCACTCGAGAAAAATTGCACTTGCAATGGCTTCTCACAGCCTGTGGGGACCTTTCAAAGTTCATAAGGTCAGTGCCAGAGGAAAGGAAACAGAAAAGGAGAGGCATAGCAGCCAGCAGCCCCTGGTACACATTATTACAATTCATATGGATGGTTAGATTATTGGACAAAGTTCAAATAGTATCATAGAACCACGGATTTAAGAGTAGAAAGGGATCTTAGAGGTCATTTAGTTAAGCCCTTCATTTTACAGATGAAGAAATTAAGGCCTAGAGAGAAGTAGCTTGTGCAAAGATACATAAAAATTAAGTGGCAGAGCCAAGAATCAACCCTACGTCCTTTCACTCCAAAGCCACCACTCATTGCATTCGACCACATTATATCTACCATTTCATTAATTAAGGAGACTTCCATACTCTTAGCATAAACATAGGAGATATCATGTCGGAGGAAAACTTTAAAGAACTCTAAGTTCTGAACTACCCATTCAAGTGCTTAAAAAAAATCATAGTACGATTTTGCATTAAAAAAAAATAATGAGATCAAAAGTGGATGGCAGCTAGTTGGCACAGTGGATAAAGTATTAGAACTAGAGTCAGAAATAGGAGAGTTCAAATCTAGCTTCAAAGGCTAACTAGCTCTGTGATCCTTGGCAAGTTACTTAAATACTACCTGCCTCAGTTTCCTCATCTATAAAATGGGAATAATGATAGCACTTACTTCCAAGTGTCGTTTTAAGGATACGAGACAATATTTTTAAAGTGTTTTGCACACTTTAAAATACTCTATAAACGCTGGTTTTGTTGTTATTGTTAGTATATAGAGCTTTGCAAACCTTAAAGTGATAACAGAAATGTCAACAACAGCTTTCATCATCATCATCATCACTCTTCTGAACTTTTATCAGTTATTAACCATGAAGGTATGGTCTTTTGTAGAACTTTACTTGTGAAAATCTTCCTGTCCTCTTTCTGGTTTTCATCAAATATTCTCTTGATTAATGTTCTCAAATGCTTTATTTTTAAACATTATTTTATTTTTGAATTGACAAAAATTTACTTTCTCTCTCTCCTCCCCCCACATTGGAAAAAAGAAAAGAAAAACAAAATTCTTTCAATAAATATAAATAATTAAACAAATTTTCTCACTGGCCACATCCAAATAGGTCTCATTATGCATCTTTCATGAGTCAAAATGTGGTTAGCATATTTCATCATTGATCCTCCAGAATTCTGATTGGTCACTGTGTTGATCAGAGTTGTAGAGGTCATCAAAGTTGTCCATCCTTACAGTGCCATTGTTATTATACAAATTTCTCCTGATTCTGCTCACTTTACTATTTGTCACTTCATACATATTTTCCAAGTTCTCTCTGAAACCACCTCTTTATCATTTCTTACAGCACAATAGTGTTCCATTATATTCATATGCCATAATTTGTTAAGCCATTCCCTAATTGATGGGCACCTCCTTACTTTCCAGTCTTTTGGCACTACTAAAAGGCAATGCTCCTTACAGACTTTTACCATACTCCTCCATAAGGTTTTCAAAATGAAATTACCATCTTTACACTTACCTGCCGTATCTCTACACTTAGATGAGGGATGAAGTGATTGCTGGGTGAAGCGTTTGCTATGTCCTCATTGTTGTAATGATTTAGTTAAATTGATTAAACTGTTATAAAAATAATAACATTCAATGTCAATGTGTCTTTCATTATCCATTTCTCTTTTTCAGCATCAGCAAACTTCTAATTGCCATTTCTTTTGCCCATCTTTATTCTACTTGATTATTTACTTTGATTTTTGAACTTATAAGTTGGTGGCTTCACTGCATGCAACTCACTTAGAAATGGCTCCCACCTAAGTAATCAATTATTTCTTATATTTTAAGATCTAGTCAATTTTACTTTTTTGTAATGTTATTTGATACTTTCTATGCCTAGTGTCTTCAGACTTTTACTGAAAATATTTATAATATATAGGTATGAGATTTCTATATAGTCTCCTGTTTTTTGACTTTTTTAAATCTTGAACCATATTTTCCAACATATTCTTTACTTTCCTACTCATGAACAACTTTTCACTGAAAATGCCAAGAATATGTGAACCCAATGTGAAGGAGATGTTCATAGAGAATAGTTCATGAGGGAGAAGGGCCCTTAGAGGCCATCTAATTTAGTGATCTCATTTTACAGATGAAGAATTTGAGGTTCAGGGAATTTAAGTGACTTTCCCAAGGTCACTTAAATAGTCTAGGAAGGGACTATTTGAGGCAAGATTTGAGCCAATATTCTTTGACTCCAGAGATAGTGCAAATATCATTGTTTTTATTTCATAGATGAGGAAATCAAACCCAGAAAAATTAAGTGACTGCCCAAATTTGCCAAGAGTCAAGCTTAGGTGTTCTGTCTCCAACTCCAATGTTCTATCCACTATGCTATGTTACTTCAGAGTAGGTGAAATCACCCATTCCTTCCCTCAAGGAGTTTCCAATCTAGATTAGGAAACCAGGTATACATATGTGAAATAATTAAATGATAGGGTGATGCAGTTTCCATCTATAATTCCATCTGCTTAGTCTGAATTCCTTAGAACAAGACTGCCCAACCAGCTCCCACTCCCTTGTATAAGCTGATCACTGGAAATCTCATGATGCAGTTTAACTCAATTTTGGAGACTCAGCCCTATCCAACTCCCCTCTGAATAGAGGCTTGGAAGGTGGAGCACTAAATTCCACCCAAAGTTTTTCTTTAGAGAGGGCAAAATCTGAACTTTGCAGTTCACTCCACTTTTCAACTGCAACTTGGCATGGAGCAAGATTCCCACACACTAGTTATCCCCTAGTGTCCTTCCTCGACCCCTTTCCAGCTTCCTTTGTGCTGTCTTCATTCATTAGATTGTAAACTCCTTGAGGGCAAGGATTGTCTTTCTTTTTCTTATTTGTAACCCCAGCACTTAGCATGTGCCTGACATATGGTAGGTGCTTAATAAATATTTTTAATTGAATTGAACCAAATCAATGCAACCAAAAGAAGAGAAGCCATTGAGCAGAAAAACTGATTGCATCAAAAATCTTTGGAAAATTCCAGACATCCAAGATATATATAGAACTGATGCAAAAATATGACTAAGATTCCTCCTCCATTACAAAAACAATCAAAGAATATGAATAGTTTTCAGAGTATATACAGTTTATCTCCATCTGTAAAATAAAGTCCCCAAAAGCACTAATAATAAGAGAAATGGAATTAGAACTTCCTTGAATTTTTACCTCACACCATCAAATTGGCAAAAATGATAAAAGGTAGAAATAATAAATTTTGGAAAGGTTGTGGAAAGACATACAGCAATACGCAGTGTCTGGTGTTATGGACTGGTCTACCCATTTTGGCATCACATAGTTGAAAAATTGCATTATAGGAATGTCATGGAATAATAATATATCATAAAAATGTCAAATATGAGAAATTCAGAGAATCATGGAACTACTTGAATGCAGGACCAATGTTTGTAATAATTTAAATAAAAACAATACTAAAAAAAGATCAGAATTCAGATTCAATGCAATAACTCATCTTGGTTCCAGAAGACCTCTGATCTTTGATAAAACCTACTTCCTTGCTCTTGACAGAGAGAGATGAAGTGGAAAATGAGTGTTACAAATGATGTCATATTTGTTTACTTTGAAGGTCAGTCTTACTTAGCTGTTTTGTTGTCAAAGAAGAGGTTTAATGGGAAATTTTTAAAGTGACAGTAGCAAAATACATCAATAAAACATTTGTAAGAGGGAAAAGTACTATGAAATAAAGTATAAAAATATTATATTTTACCAAGAAGTAGTATTAGAGTTAAGAGGAAAGAGAAGTCAATGTGGTTTGGGAATACTCAGAAAAGTTTGCGTATAGCCCACAGGACTTTATCTGGTCCCTGAAAAGTGGGTAGATTTAGTCTAAGTGGTAAGGAATTCCCAAGGTCTTATAGCTGGATGAACCCATCAAATCTGCCTCCTGTCCTTGCCAGTTATAGATATTTTAAGGTGTTTGGCCAGATTTCCCCTTGATTGGAATAAGCAAGGTGGAAACATTTCCCCATCTGTCCAAAACACTTCTTTTTCTTCTGTGGGGGATGCTGGAGGCTGGAGGAGGAGGAATAAAAAAGATTGGGAAGAAAAACTGGGTAGATTATGTTGCGTCATTTAATACAATATACATTTCACTGAATCTGTTTCCTTCCTGTCATATCACATTCTGCACAGAGCCTAAATTGTCCACTACAATACCAAAAAAGTTCTTGATGATGCATAAACTTCATTTTCCTTCATATGCCAGTTTTCTTTTTTATTTAAGTCATCTACCCACATTGTTTTCTCCACTCAACATTTCTA